CCTTCGCGAAGGCAATATATTCCTATGTGGTGAATCCCGTGACGACCTGCATGGTGATGGTGACATTCTTGATGATCTATCTGACGACCTTCGCGCAGGTGAGAGATTTTGTTGAGGGTCTGAGTCCTGAGACGTCTCTCTGTATCTTCTTGGAGGTGTAAGCCTCTCTGTGATATAGGTAGCCTGCGCGAAGGCTCTTCATTAGCTTCATCATCAGATGACGATCTATTTTGGTCGGATGAATGTCCTTTCCTTCGCGCAGGTTCGTTGACGTCGTGCAAGGTAGGTCTGCTCTTAGTCCTAGAGCTAGAACCTCTTGTAGATATCTCAGATGCACCACCGGTGCGGGGTCCTTCGTGCAGCACTGGTTGAGCACTGGCGGCTGCCTGACCATCATGCAAGGTCCTTTCCTGCACGAAGCGCTTCTCCATCAGGTCCATCATCTGTTGGGAGAATTGCTGCATGAAGGTCCCGGGGTTGAATGTCTGCGACGACTGTAGAGATGACGCATCTGAGAGGGTAGCGATATGGTCCAGGGATTGCTGTACCTCATGGGTCCCTGCTGCCAGTGTAGAAGGTAACTCAGACTGTGTTGCTGATGTTACCGTTGCTGAGGCCTGCGTCTTCTTCTTATGCAGTATCTCTGGGATGAGGATAGGCGGTTCTTCGTACAAGCCTATTTCTTCCATCGGGACGATCTCGGCAGAGAAGGTCCTTGTAGTCTGTGAAGAGCTCCCAGTAGATCTCGTTGAAGCCTTAGGGGTGTAAGGCTTCTTAACTCGGTGCGCCTAGTGGCTGCAAGAGTTGTATGCTCCTAAGGGAGTTGAGATTGACAATACGATGTGCCGTTGAGATTGACATCCAGTGAACGAGGGGAAAACAAAGCGCCTTTGAGCAGCTGAGCTGAGCTGGATATCGGCGCCTATACAAATGTTAGTATGTATGTATGTATGTATGTATGTATGTATGTATGTATGTATGTATGTATGTATGTATGTATGTATGTATGTATGTATGTATGTATGTATGTATGTATGTATGTATGTATGTATGTATGTATGTATGTATGTATGTATGTATGTATGTATGTATGTATGTATGTATGTATGTATGTATGTATGTATGTATGTATGTATGTATGTATGTATGGGTTGAGGAGTTGTCCGACGTAGAAGATCTTTTCTTCGAGGTAATGGCGGACTTCATCCCACGCCCATCTTCTGAAGACGCCTCCGGCAGGTCACTGGATGGAAGTATGTCGTCTAACAACGACAGACAGCTCTTTAGGCCGTTTTTTTTTTTATTAATTGGATTATGGATTTTTTTCCAAAATAACTAGGGTCGGTGGTCGAAATAAAAATAAAAATAAAATTCATAGTCTTCAAATTTTTAAGTGTTTGTCTCAACATTCGAGTCGGTAGGAATTAAAAAAAATAATCCAAATTTTGATATTGTAAGAGAAGAATAATTATTGTGAATCATAAGAGTGAATGACTGAGTTTTCAAACTCTGTAATAATGTCAAAAATATGTTGACATCACCTGTACCTGTACCTGTACCACACTATTACAATCAACCTGACATCATTTAATAGTCGTTGCTTGGTGACAGTGCAACAATGGTATGGACAGTCTGGACATGCCTCTTTTCCATCTTTGAAGCATCGAATATATATGATTAGTCATGTTTTCAGTGTAATATCTCTGCAAATATCAGCCTTTCTCCATTATGAGATGAGAGGTAACTGTTATTGCACAGGAAACATGAAATATCCTCTATATTTAATAAAATGAAAGTACAAACAAGGGACATATTCACTACTGACTTTAATACTGCCCAGTCGTCTTTGACTTGTTGCTTATTTGTTTACAAAATGCAGAAATCAATGACTATTTCTTCTTTGGTCCCACTTTTAGGGCATTTCGCACTGCTTTCCAGTCTGCAGACATGTTTCACATAATGGCCGCATCATCGTCGCCACAGTAACAAGTTTGGTAGTCCTCAAATTTCAATCGTTAATAAACCAAAAAATTAATTTGACAGAGGTGTGGTATCATAACAAACAAACACACAATACGTTTTGGCATAATTTAATTTAGTCATGACAGATGGATATGATCATATTATTTAAATAATACAACTGCAACGTAAATAAGTTAATATTTAATGAAAATGCAAGCTTACACATTTATAAGGTCCAGATAAACCACGAAGGGAGCAAAAAATGCGGCGATTTTTTCCATTTGTAACATGTCATAATTATCCCCTTACGTTTTTTATATTTTCATGTTTACGTCATCGGAAAACTATTACAAAGAGATTTCTCAAATAATATGTATGGAAGTCTATTTCCCGATACCAGTGGCTTTCCGCTCGGTAACGTGATACAACAGTGGGAAATACCTCAGTTTTGAAGCTTGTATTAAAACATGTGAGGCGATTAAGTTTGATGGCGGTATCGTTCGAAGCTCTGAACATCAACAATATCACTGTACCCTTGCCAAGAGTATTTTCACAGTTGTAAGAAGCGAATTTATTGGATAAAGATTGGTTTCTAATGACGCATTTCTGTCATAGTCTGCTACGAGGTTCGTGATTGGTCAAAATCACACACGTGACCTAAGGCAGCCAATCATACTACAGCAATGGATACTGTCCTCGTAAAGGAAAACTTTTAGATTCAGATGAAAGTTTTGGGTAAAATCATGCTATTCTGAACGTGTTACGCACAAGATCACTACCTATGCGTATATTATGGACCTTAATGGACGTATCGTGCTGGGTTATGACCTGTGACAAAAATGGGTAATGCATATATTTTAGCATTAAACATCGTGTCCGATGAAAGCCAAGATGGTCACTTGAATTACATTACACGATCGCATAATAAGATGGAAATAGTAAGTTATAATGTACGTTTGACAACTTTTATGAGTACTGTTATTGAATATATTCTTCAGTTTATACAATTTGTTTAATTATTATCTCGAAACATCGTTACTTTGTTCTTTGACAACTTGGATGTGGACCCGTTTGCTGAAGCATGTGTCCGAGAATCGTTTTTTCAATCACATTGCGAAAAATATCTTATATTTCTAATTCTGTCGATAATATATGGTCATTTGAAATGTTATAAGTGTTTTCAGACATTGTTATTGATTCGTAGTTGTGCCCGCGATTTTTCTACAATTGAAATATTTATTTCTGAACCAGTGCAGATAGATGACTGATTTTAATATCGGGTATGTCAGTCGATCTTTTTTTTTAATACCCAGGACTCGGCGGTAATAAAAAACACTTCTCATTGAAATTTTATTTTTATTTGCCATTGCCAAAAATTAGGGTCGGCGGATCCGTAAACCAATTAATAAAAAAAAAACGGCCTTAGGGACTCAGCCGGTTTAGCCATGATTTGTAACAGCCGCCTGGATTTATCCTTAGTACGTCTAAGTACAGAGAAATAATAATTATTAAATTCAATTTTTGTTAGTTGCTGACATAATTTACAGCGAGAGCTGGAAGTACATATTGTTGTGCAACTAGGGCACAATAAATGCGGGTCTACAGCAGAGAACCTAAACCTACAACGAAAACAGGTTTTCATGAAATGTAAACAAACTGAACAATCACGTGAAACCGTGAATAAACAGTCAAATTTGCTAATAAATTTCAAACCATATTGTAGAAGGATACTCCCTGAAACCTTATAAAGGTAACTTATAGGGTAATAACTAAGTTATCAAAGGATATAGTGCCGTGTTGGAGACACAGGTGCTCTCCCAACCGTCCACTAGGGCGAAGAAGGAGAGAGTGAAGAGTGGGCAGACGGGTGGCGCCATTTTCTCGCCAAAACCGAGAGGGAGACAACTCGTGGTGAGTAGTGATTTTACGTCTGCTTTTTTGAAGGGAGCTTCAAAAAGGAGATACAAGTGTTCCACTAACGTTCGGGGAAGGAAGGAGACAAGCAATAATACATGAGTCAGGATAAGGAAAAATAATCAAACATACAAATAATATGAACACACATATGCACCTGAAAGAAGTAACACAACATGTTTTTTGTCAGATGACTATAGTTAGTGGGTATTTGCAACACAGTTCTTCTAATAGCATTATCATAGTGTGAACAAAGATGACAAATTAGCAGCTATAACTGGGGTGTTATTTCAATACGACTGCTGGGCTGGACATACTGGGAAATATTTCGAACATCTTCACCATCGTTGGTTGGAGTTGGCATCAGTCTCACAGATCTGATGGATGTTTCTGAGGTTCTGATAACATATGCTGGACATGCAGGACATTCCATGAGTCCATTTGAATTCATATAGGGGAGTCAAAATTTGCAGTCGTACATCCCACTGAGGATCTATCAATGCATGCGTAGATGATAGAAATAGGACAATCTAGCTAGCTACATTACACAATCAGAATTACAATGCAGGGTGCGATTTCGGTGATATTCAGTACCTGCACTGGGTGCAGCCTGGCTTACAGGTTTGGATGCACCATCACAAGTTTAGTTGCACCAAAAAATAATGTCATTGGTTCTAAAAAGTAACATAAACACTTGTTTAGCAATTTTCATAACAAAAATTCAGTATCAGATACATTCAATTGAACCTGATCCCATGATGATGAATGATTCAATTTTGCCTCACCTTTATTAATAAATCTCAATTATATGATTGCTGCTATGTAACTGATTTATGAGTACACAAATGTTCATGCTGTTACAAGTCAGGTAGAGAGAAACGTTTTACTTCCAGTCACTTACTTCCCAATTAAACCCCACGAAGACAGCTATAGGGTATTGGAGGATATATCTATTATCTTTGATGGGTTCAACCTGTTACTGAAGGTAACTTGCACCAGATACTTTTAACATGCACCGTAAATGGTTGTAAATCTCACCCTGCAATGTCCTTATTTTTTTCACTCTAATACACTGATTGTGCAGTAAAAGATTTCACAGAATCAACGTGTGGCACATGACATACCTTTCCTTGCCCCCTTTGTACACTGACGTTCTTACAGGAGATCTTATTGCTGTCAAACTGATCTGCAAATATGGAAAGAAGTAGTTTGTACTATTATGATCATGATAAAACATTTTGTCTTTTCCCCCAGATGCACAAAAACCTATGGTATATCTTGGTATCATAGGCATGCTTCGAGCTGAAATATCAGTTTCATGCAGGTCATGTGTTATGACAGTATTTCTGCTCATTGTAGACAGATTTCAAAACAGAAAGTCCAAAGTGTCTATCTTGTTAAGAGTGTTGTGAGAACTTGTTGTGTAATGACATATATCTTTATATCCTTCCTTAAACTCCATGTGTTAGTCCATCATTTTATTTCATCACCTTCACTTTACAATCTTGACCCAACCCATTAGAAAGCTGAGCCATACAAAGGTGCTAAACAAGTTGAGCGATATACCACCATAATTAAGGTATTGGTGTTACAATCTGTTTTGTTTACTGTTCATAATGAGGAAACACCACCTTCAGTCTCAACTAAGATGATGACAGGAATATAACATTTGTATTCTCACCAGCATGTAATGCCACCCCATGTGGATACGTAACACCGTAACATAGACCAGCAAATTTTCCTATATTCTCAACAGTTCACTTTCTCCAAATACAACTCCTTGGGGTGATACTAATTACGCAAGACCTATACCTGTGATTGCTAGTTCAGTCTGTCCTAGTTCCAACTTTAGGCAGAGCCAAGTGCTACTCACACACACAACAAGGCGTATCCAACAGCATGTAGAGTTATGCCACACGATACCCTAGTTATGCCACATGATACCCCTAGTTATGCCACATGATACCTAGAGTTATGCCACATGATACCCTAGTTATGCCACATGATACCCCTAGTTATGCCACATGATACCCCTAGTTATGCCACCCCTAGTTATGCCACATGATACCTTGAGTTATGTCACATGATACCTAGAGTTATGATACCTAGAGTTATGCCACATGATACCTAGAGTTATGCCACATGATACCTAGAGTTATGCCACATGATACCTAGAGTTATGCTACATGATACCCTAGTTATGCCACATGATACCTATAGTTATGCCACATGATACCCCTAGTTATGCCACATAATACCTATAGTTATGCCACATGATATCTGGAGTTATGCCACATGATACCTAGAGTTATGCCACATGATACCTAGAGTTATGCCACATGATACCTAGAGTTATGCCACATGATACCTAGAGTTATGCCACATGATACCTAGAGTTATGCCACATGATACCTATGTAATGCAGATGGTGGGAGTAAGACTTGTGCATCATGCAATAGTTTGAAGACTCAATGCTGAGCCACTTGTCACCGCCCCTGAAAATACCTTGTTATACACTTGTAGTCACTAAATAAATGTTACCTATATCTAATACAACATGAGCCTTCTGAACCAGGAATCCTTTCAGATTTGTGCTCAGATATGGATTCGTCTCCAACCACTACTAAATGCTGATTAATTTCACTGGGTTTTGAATGAAACCTGTCCTTCACAAGGCACAACCAATAAACCAATAGTCCATTCTGTTACATTGTAGAAGATGCCAGGCACTTCCTAAGTTGAGCCTTGAGCAAACCACAAGTCGGAACATGCTTTATTTACTTAATCATATCAAAGTATTCTTAATGGGTAACATGATAGATATGTGATCATTTGAGCCTTTGGATCAGAGAAATATAATGAAAGAAAGGTGGGTGATTCTAGACATTAAGTCTTCAGATTCCACAGGTTGTAGTGATGATGACCACCTACCTGCTCCACATGTCTGACAGAGATCAGGATCACACTCCCTCACTGCCAGGAAGCATGGACATTGTTTTGTATTACACTGTGCCTTGCAGCGACATCCAGGAAACCGATTTTGACCTACAAAGTGAAAACAAGACCTGAACAAGATTGTTAAATCTTCTCTCTCCTGCCATCAACCTGGGACTTGAGAAATGAGGGGCCTTGCAAAATCAATATGGGGCAAGCAAAATACATGCTACATTCAATTTAGAGCGGTGGCAACTTGACAATTGAACACTCCATTTGTACCCATTTCCCTCTTATGATTCATATGTCATATCAACTCTGCAAGGTAGTTAAGTGCCAAATACTTCATAATACATGTTGAATGATTGCACATGGGAACTTTAGGAAACAAATCATCATGAGACTTACAATCATTGCTGCACTGACAGAATTTCTCACAAAAATTCTGTGCCATGATACATGGACATGTTTCGTCACACCGCTGGCCTGGGTGATCACAGGGCTGGTAGTTGTAAACCGGGTTTGGTGATCCATCCTTTTTCAGCTGGATCTTCCGACAATGCATTGACCACAATCTGAATGAACAACAGTATGTAAACTATGTCAGCAATTAAGTCTTTATAATCTGTATTCTAACTGCTTCTGTCTCCTGATGACTTAGTATGTAAAGAAAAGAAAAGAAACATAAGATATGAAATCTATATAATTACTGTCACAGCCCTGCAGCGCACGTAGAGGGTTGTCCACAGAACACAAGTAGCTTCAAAGTTAACTTCCAAAGGTGAGGCTGCCAGACATCCTCCATAACATAAATACATGTGCAGGACATAGAAGTCAGCCAGGGTTATCTATCATATGGTATGCTCGCTAAATATCCACTGCAGAAAGGCTGGAAGAAAACCCATGGATAAGTTGTGAAGTACTTTCAATTTTGACTAGGTTAGTATCTTCCCTACCAGTCCTGGCATAGGTGTCAGATGGCCCTACGATACTCGATCCATGACTCCCTACACAAACTAATGATGATAGGATTCTTTGAAATAATTACTGGCTGGACATCAAGTGATGGCTATCCCTCTGTAACCTCCTTTTTGTCCCTTCTTTTGGTTTATGAGCTTGTCCTTCAATATATGAGCTTCAGTGAAAACCCAAATCACAGTACAATGCTTGTATGGTTAATAAGTGTCTGTTAGTTTTAACCAAGACCAGTGACATGCTAAGTGTGTAGTTAAGCAGGCACAATCTAGCATTACTTGTCCAGTACTGACAGGTAGCTGTGAAAGCTTGACATTTTGTTTATGTTTTTTTATGGCATTCAAATCCGAGATCTCCCTAAACACTCATGTGGTAGGGAAGTCCAATACTTGTGGCTCAAATTTCAACAAACACATTCAGCTGTTCCCTCAAAGTTGGCTGCTTAAATATTGTTTATGGTACTGTTATTGATGATACTTTTATGAATTCAGACTTTCTGAGTTAAATATGATCAGCCAATGTCATGCTGATGAGGCAAAGTAAACTTCACAAAAAGCTTACTTCTGTTTCTTCTTCTTTTTTCTGGGTGGTGTTTGTATTCTTTCTTCATTAAGGTCAGGAATGTGAGCTTCTTCTTTGATAGCAAACTCATATACCTACAATCACCAACAAATTTGTATGAAATATCCACTTTAGCATGTGAGAAACATCATCATGGTTTGACCACAATCTGGGTAAGGATTGACAGTTAAGTCAATGTGTGACCAAACATAAAGTACTTAAGTAACACAGAACACATGCATAAGACTTAACAAACATAAATGCTGCAGATAGAAGAAGTATATATGGATGACAACTTCTTTTATTCTAGAGCATGATGTTTCGATACAGGTTCTTGTATCGTTTTCAAGTGAGAATGGTACAGGGAGAGAACAGGTGATATATATACAACAAGACTAATTAACAAGGCAAGGCGGAATAATAATGTGATGATAACAAATAAAGGGATATCCCTGTAATCCTCTGTTATCTCTTTATTTGTTATCATCACATTGTTATTCTGCCTTGCATCGTAACAAAGCGCAACGTATCGTATCTAATCACCACGCTCTGTTGCGATATCTGACCATTTGTAATGACCTGTGACGCTCTGTCGGGTCGCATTGCTCATGACCTGACACCAGTGACTCACGAGCAGATACGAGTTTAAACAAGTAAATGCGAGTAGATGGCGCCTTTTCACGGACGCTCACGATCTGTTCTTGCGCCCATATATATATGTGTATGTGTTGGGCTTCTGCTCTAGAGTCCTGAGAAGACACCTGAATCTACTGGCCAGGATCCAAAAGGCATTTTCCATCACTCTCCTCCCCTTGAGTGTCTGTAGTTGAAAATCCTCTCCTTCATGGACACCATTCTTCTGCTGTATGGCTTCATGAGGTAGTTGTTGTGTACCAAGGCGTCATCCCCCAGGATGACAAAGGGCATCTCTTGGTGGTCATCAGGGCTTGCCGTCAGCGGGCAGGGTGGGGGGAGTCCTAGAGCTTCCTCTTTCAGGCTGTTGAACAGCTCCAAGTTGTTGCCAAATACAGTACAACCAGAAATTATTGAGAATTTAAAGATTGTAATTTTTTTTTTTTTCACTCATTACTCAGGTATTAAATGTGAATATTAGCAGAACATAACTCCAGATTCAAAGACAGGTGAACAGTTAGTATTTTGTCAAGTCACCATGGGCAGCAAAGCAGGCTTCAATGCGGCGGGGCATACTAGTGATCAAAGAAGTTAGAAAGTCGTGGAAGTAAATGTCCCTCGAAAATATCTGTGTACCGCTCACTGGTCATATTCCCTTCAAATACACAGAGGGGCGTTGCCCCTAACACAGATATGCCACCCCACACATTAAATTTCGGACTGTACTTTGGGCGCTCATACAAAGGTTTTTCAGTTTGGTCCAGAATTTCAGTATATTAGGAAACAGCCAAACAGAACTTTCATCTGAGAAAATCTCATTGTCCCAGTTAAAATTTCTATGCTGTAAGCACCAGTTAAACCTTCGCTCCTTTAGTTCAGGTTTCATGATCGGTGATGGAATTCCTCGACTTTTCTGCCAACCCATTGCATGCAGCTCAGTTCTTATTGTCTCCTTACAGACAGCCACAGTTCCTCTATCAATCATATCCAGCCTTAAGTTTTCTAAACTCCTTCGTTTGTTTTTAGAAACAAGAATACCAAGCCGCTTCCTGTCACTGACAGTCAATTTTCTGGACCTACCTGCGCCTCCTGGTGCTCAATGCCATATCCATTTGCAGGGCTCCAGATAACTTTTCAACATCAAGAGTACATACTCCATATTTTTTCAATATAGTAGTACTGGAAAAACCTAAAAGTACATTTAGAGCACTGATTGGAATTTAATGGTGTATCAGTAATCTCGTGTTTCATTATATATATGCACCACAACATTGTTACTCTTGTGTAAACAGGTCAATAAACAATAAAACAATACCTTTTCAGATGAATTTACGTCTGATAATGATTCTAAGGCCGTACACCATTGCTGTGGTGCGTATCTGCTACGTTTTCTTAATATTTTCCTTCCGTATCGTGCATATTCTATATCCGTACATACGCCGATACGGCCCTTAACTGGAGCCCTCCATTTGCAATATTTTTCAAAACACGATAAACAGTGGACAAAGGCATGCCTGTTCTACTTGAAATCACTTTAGCTGATCTGATGTCCTTGTTATAATACTCTAAAATCAACTTCCTCTTCTCTAAATCATCCATACTGAAGATCACTGAAAATGTCGTCTGCTAGCAAGTATACAAAGGGAGATAACTCTTCACAAACGAATGAAAAAGGATTAACGGAGTTGTCTCTCTTGAATGAAACCAAGCACTTGATAGCTGGTCAAGGTTGTTTATGCTAGAAATCCAATTAAACATATTCCTAAAATTCTCAATAATTTCTGGTCATACTATATCTGAGCATCTGACATGTCCTTTTCCACCAAGCTTGATTCTCACAAACTTGCATCTGCATTAGTGGTGTAACGATTCATCGATAGTATCGATGTTTGCATCGTCAACTACGCGATACGAGTGCATCGATACAAAACACGTTTAGGCAATATATCAGGATATTTATATTGCGAGGGTCCATGATACATCGATGTATCGCCACAAGAGACGATATATCCCGATACTACTTAAATATTACTTAAAGTTGTAGGGAGATTTGCATAAGTAATAGGAAGGGAGTCTCTTTGAAATTTTTCTGAATTTTAAAAACAAACTGAACCTAAAAGGAATTCGTTTGTGTCTGCCATCTTTGTTACATGAACAAAGGAGTTAGTGTATCAGTGAAAGCATGTGAACAATCTCTGTGAACTGTAAAGACTTGTCTTTAAGTAAATGAAACATGTTTTAGTTGTTTGACAAATAACACCATTTATTAACAACAATGAACGATGTCTTAGCTTTGTTAAGAAAGAGAAGACAAAATTTAGAAAGCATACTTATGAGTTTTTTTTGCAGTGATTCTGGTATAAATTACTGCATACATTGCCTGTGCAAGCATTGGTGCAGAAACACAACTTTCCAAGGGAAACCTAGAGCAAGGTATACTGAATATGTTTGATTGTACTTTCTTAAGCATTAAATGCTGAAACTTTATTACACGAACAGCCTTTTAAGTGTGTGTGAATGTAACACATGCTCTGCTGAATAACAAATAAAGATTCGGTCATTTTATCTATCATATATGTCCTGTTTTTAGGATTGTAAAGTATCGGGATAAGTATCGTATCGCCATCACTGTATCGTGATGATAATCGTCTCGCAGGTTCCTTGCCAATACTTTCATGATATATCGTCTCGCCTCATTAAATTAGTATCGGGATATATCGTCTCGCCACTTAGGCAACGATACACAGCTCTAATCTGCATCCACCAGAGCTGGGAGTGGTATAGAAAAGAAGCCCTTGTTACTGAAGTAGAGGTTGCCAGTTTGGAGTGGCTTCTTGACAGCAATGTGTTTGCCATTCAGGGTCCCAATGGCGTCGGGGATATTCCATCTCTGCTCAAACTGGTTAGCTATGGCTGTCCATGCTTCAAGGGTCACAGGTAGGCTAAACACCTCATCTTTGTAGGCCTGCAAAATTTCCTGGCACACTTCTGGAACCATCTCTGAGATGGTGGACACTCCACACCTGAAGGCATACGCAAGGGACCGATAGTTGTCTCTAGTGGCAAGGTGGGTCAGTGTCACTGCCAGTTTCAGTCCAGGTGAGAGGGGTTGCCTGAAACTGGTGACTTCAGTCTCGATTACCGGGGCCAACCTCTCCAAGACTTCATTGAAGAGCTGTGGTGTTAACCTTGTGTAGTTTTGGAACGCTACTGGATCCCCCAGCTTCAAATGGGCGTCTAGGAGGCTGGAGAACTGACCAAACTGTTGTCTCCTCTCTTGTGAGCCATTGTCGCACCCAGAAGTGTCAGACTGCAGCTCTCCTGGCCCTTTGTGGTTGGAGTTGTAGCTGGTCTGGCTGCTGTTCGTCTTCCTCCTCTCTGACAATAATGTAAGCATACAGGAATACTGCATCATCATGTTATCATCCTGCCATCATCAACGCTTATGGGTTGTAGTGTTTACTCTGTAAAAGTTCAAGAAACAATGAAGTCCATGGTCAATCTGGCTGTATATAAATACCCGTTGGGGTCCAATCGTAGCTCAAATCACGATCACCCTTGATGGTGATTGTAGTAATAGTCTGCTTACATGGCGCTCATGTCCAAGCACATTGCCTGCTCATGATGCTACGTACATTTACTATCCCTGGTCATAGGACACTATCGTACTTTCCAATACTTTTTCAACTCCCAGGCGAACATACAGCCATGTTGCCTGTTAGGCACAGTGAACTAAACACTCACATTGCCAGCACATCCTGAACTGAGACAATGTGGATATAAGTATCCTACCAAGGATACTACTCAAATGTACCTGCCTCGGGACCCAAACCCAGGTGCCTTCACCTAGGATCGAACCTGGGCCTTCAGCATGATAGGAGACACCTTACCAATGCACTATTGCGCTCCACATGAAAAACATCGCGACCACAACCATATCCTATCACAACAGAGCGCATCGCTTCATGATGAACGTATCAGATCGCGACCCAATCATGCACTCAATTGAGACAATCCTATCACAACATATATGATCGTAACTAAACGGGAGACCAGAACGTGACAGATCAAGTGACTTTCAATTGACCAATCGTGACAATATCACATCCAAGTGCAACAAACTGTATCAGAATGTATTGACTTGCATCACCTCGTATCCAAGTCTGAAATTTCAGAGAAGTTCCACGATCAGCTACAAGTGGCCAATCGTGGCGTTCGTAACGGATCGCAAGACAGTGTGAACATAGCATAAAGACACCAAATTATAATGAACTAATAAATCTTTCCAGTGTGAACCTAGCATAAAGACACCAAATTATAATGAACTAATAAATCTTTCCAGTGTGAACCTAGCATAAAGACACCAAATTATAATGAACTAATAAATCTTTCCAGTGTGAACCTAGCATAAAGACGTACCAAATTATAATGAAATAAACAAAAAATTTCCAAGGCTGTGACCTTGAAACTACACACAACACATGCACACATCTGTCCAAAACACTTCCCAGGTTTAGTTACAGCCTTGGTGTTAAATCTAACTGTGCGCCAGTACAAAGACTGTTTAAAGGGCTCATCATTATAATGGAATGATCAAATTAGATTAACATATCTGAAATACAATTACTGTTTGTTAATAAAGTAACTACCTGTTTACATGATTTTGTTCCTATCAGCTTTGAGATGGCACAATAGTTATTTCTGTACATGTCATTAAGAACTCTGAACAGGGATTCTTCAGCTCCATTCCAGTTGGGGGTAATCGCATCTTCTCGAAATGGAAACTTGATCTCAATATCTGAAAGTAACAGATATAGAACTGATCCAAGCTGTCTTTCATGTCTTGATAAGAGTTTACACTGCAGGGTACAAAATGCAGTTTAAACAGCTAATAAGGGGCTGACCGTTTGATATGCTAGTGGGAGTTGGACCTGAGATTCTGTTTTTAAATTGACACTCACCCATAGAATATTACAAAAAATAATCTTAAAACCAATGTATTACTTGCAGCAGTAAAGCAAGACATTTTATAAAGGATAACTTGTTCGTCCTGTGATGGTGCTATATTTCGGAGTGGAAGCTTATAGAAATGTTGCACCATCATAAAGAAACATGTGTTGCCTTTACTGCAACCTACAAATTTCTGAAAGGCAAATCAACAGTCTATATATTTTGTGGAAGACAATTTATTAAGAAGTTGTGGCTACATGCAATGGAGTAGTTAATTAAAGTTCAGTCAGTTTAGTTCATTTGTGTCAAGTTAATAGACAGGACTGGAGGTAGTGCTAGCAGAAGGAGAAATCTACGAGTATTTGCTCTGGCAATAGGTCCTTTCTAAGGGAACGATTAACCTGGATGAGACAAAGAGTCAGAAATTAGTGGAATGATATGTTTTGACAGAAATATTTGAAAATGATCAATGGCATGCAAATTTCATGATGTGTCAAGCTGTATTTCAAATATCTGCCTATAATTTGAGTTACATTTCCACCTTTTATCAGATGTGTATGAAACATCAAATTGAACAACTGGTCCAGTTTCCTGACTGGTCAAACTGCAACGTAAACAACATACTTGCATGCAGGAAGCATCCTCACTTGTCTGGATTGTGGTATTATTTGGTGCCATTTTCTTTTGCAAAATGTCATGGTTGTGTCCCATTATAGCCCACACATGGGTTTTACGATTCCAATCGATTACTGTCCTCCGATTATTGTTTTGCCTATTGGAAGCGATAACCAGCACTAGAGACAAGCCCTGACCACTGAACGTTACAGTAGCTGTGTGCAACAGTCCTACAACAGTGGAGTACTGAACTATCGTTAACTTCTTTCGGGATTTGTTTGTTGCTTAACACCACACTCAACAATATTCCAGTTTCATTGTGGAACTTTTATGGGAATAGCCAAGTCAACAGAGTGTCTGAATCAATGATGTCTGTGAAGCCATATATATACAAGGAGGGTTCAAGGAAATGGTCAGATTTCTCAATTGTGAGACCTTGAGCAAGGTTATTGGTGATCTGTTTGATATTTATTGATGGTAAAATTATTGTGCCCATTGATTGCAATGTTTGTGAACAGAAAAGGTTGATGCTTCATCGTTATGCAAACTGTGTTCCATGATAAATAACATTTCACAGATGTCAACATTGGATTGAGAAACATTTACAATGTTCAAAGGGACATGCAGGTGTTTTGTCAAGGGAATGGACACTGAAGCAAGTTTCAACGTTATGTGCACTACCTACCAGACACACTCGTGTCCGGTTTATAATGTGTTTAACTTTCCGTTTCTGCCATACTTAACTTTCCACACACATCTGGGTCGTAATATTGTGATGCAATGATGGCAACAGCAAGAGCCTTCCATGACGATTGCACATAATATATTGTATCACTCAGTAAAAGAAGGAAGCTGCAGAAATGACTGAGGCAGTCTACAATGTTCAAAAGCAATTCATATCATAACTGGAAAATGCTTGCTGAATACGTTCGGGCCATTCAGGTTTCAAATACAGGAAAGGTCTGAGAGTTGGCTGAATAACGAAATCATGACTTTCACTACTTTCTGATTGGCTGCTTGATTCATTTCATTGCATGTAAGTTGAAATGCTGTGAATTTGTATCCTTGAAGAAAGTATTATTTATCTTAGTTTGCCCGGCAACACTGCTTAAAATGTATGAAAGCTATGTCGGTCAAAGTCAATGAAATACATGAAGCAGGTCCCTGGATATGTTCAGTGGTGGAGACCAACAGGGTCACATACCATGACCAATTATAAAACTCAAGTACAAGGCCAGGAAAGACTCCAAAATATGTTCGTGGGAGAAATGCTCAAGATGAAGTGTTGTATCTGTTGGGCTTTATATTCATGGGAGATCATGCAGGACATTGGGTTATATGTAGCTTGTATAGTATCTAGCATTTGATGTAATAAGGTCTAAGGTATAACACCTGTAAGAACACATCATCAGTAGAAACGTACCTGTTGCATCATTACTCTTCTCACTGTCTTCACCACTGCTGATTCCTCCATTCATCTTCCGCTTTGCGGCCAATAAATTGTGGAGGTGATGATTTTCTCCCCGTTTCATAAAGTTCACTTCTATCAGATTTGTCAGATTTTTCAGAGTCTGAGGCAGCATTATCTTTGTCTTTTGGAGGTATCTACAAAACAAAGCCTCCATCATGTAATTTCTTGGTTTACATATCCATCAAGCCAGTCAAAATTTGTTATACCAGCATAACTAAGAACATACATGTTTGTTTCCATAAGTTATAAATAAAAAATCATATGATGCATGGTAAATATTGAAAGATTGAAACACATGTTTATATTTGCATTTGTGGACCTTTGAAAACATAATGCAAGGACAATGTATTAAAGTATTGAAATTTAACCTACTTTCTGGCGGTAAGAACAGTGTTTGAAAAGAGTTCTGTATGAACATGTATAAAGAAACAAAATATGTTTAAAACTTATAATCTCAAAACAGGATTTTGTTTGGTATTTTGATAGAGTCAGAAGTTCAAGCAAGTTTTCTTGTGAGAATAAACACCTTTTGGTTAAGCTAATTTCTAGCATACAACAATACATATTCTTAAAAAAAGAAAAGAAAAAGAAATTCACAATCATATTTTGGTGATACTAGAATAAGATTCTGGAATGACAACAGAGAGAATGTTCAAGTAGTGCACTGTGGTCCTCAATTGAACCAAGCACCTTTTCACAACGTGGCAGGTCAAGGGTACAAGGTCAAGGTCACCAGCAGTCAATAACAGGCATGTCTGCTCTGAGCATTGAGAACTACCTGGCACCTTCTGCCCAAGGATGCAATCAAAGATTGAATTACTGCATGGTGAATGACGGCCCACAAATCTTGCAATGATAACTGTCATAGCTTTCTATCCCACTAATTACACAAATGTTCTATTGGGTTCAAATACGGCAAGTTGGAGAGCCAAGTGTAGACATAAGTGAAGGTATGCAGCTGTTACACATGCTGTTGATTCCAGGCTTTGTCTTGAATTGGGGTTGGCCATGACAATGATGATGTCACATCACAGGGTATGAATGATGTAGGTTGCCATGACAATGGACCAGGTTTGTGGGAGATGGTAGCCCACATCATCAAACTTTCACAACCAAACCTGTCTCCTTCCTGGATGCCCTTTACCATCATGACGCAGCAAAACTCATTGATGAACCAGAACTGTCGCCAACCTTGTGGGGCCATCATTCAAGTTGATGCTAACGATATTGAGGTGTCATCTTTACACCTCTAACTGGACCTCTAACATGAAAGGCTGCCGCATGTAGGTGGTTCTGCACTGTCTGTTTTGATATTCTCTGCATGCCTGGTATTGCTGTTGCCAATGTTGCCATAGTTGTTCTTTCACGCAAGTGGCGCACTTGTATGTAGTGGTCGTGGGCGGTGTGTATCACATCTGGGTCAGGCAATTGTAGACCCCAGCTGCTGATATCAGTCCCGTAGTCAGGAGATGGTGCTTGGGGATACAGAAAAGGTGCCTATTCACAAGAGTCAGATTCAAACAGATTTCTCCTCCAACCATCACTTATGGAAATGTCTGTTATGGCCCAAGAAATTGTGGAGAAATATTGCATTTTTTCATAATGTACCACTGCTAACAGTTCCATGGCAATGATACTGCACTTGTAAGTTATTCATGTATCAATGAGTAACCTAAACAACCAGCATTTCCATCTTATTCTAGGCAATGCTGTGACTAGTTAATGACTGCCACATGTATGATTACACAATGCCATTTACAAAAGTGGTCAAATGTAACATGTTTTATTTGGGATTACACTTTCTCAGTACAGTACAGATTCTTGTACTTTGGTTGGGTTGAGTCCCATCTGGGATTCGAACCCACACCTCAGAGTCAGACACCTAATCGCATAGTCGGACAACTGGTAGCCTTGATAAGTGTTACTTGGCACGGCTCCCACGGCCAAAAGCTATGATTACACAATGCCATTTAGAAGATGGTCAAATGTTACATATGTTACATATGTTGCCACATGTATACCAGAAGAACATTCACATAGCTTCTTTGTCTAACACAACTACAACAAATAATCAGCAATAAACTGAGCTTAAGCCTTCATAGGAGTCATTTCTTGCAAAGGAAATCCGCTCAGAGGTATAAAGACCCCAAGAGGATCTACACTGCACCTTCACTACCATTGATGCTGCACTCAAAGGGAAACCTTGGGTCACTAGCACCTTTTGGAGACTCACCACTTATGAAGAACCTGTGATATGGGTGCGGGAAGTACCTGCTTGGTAGGTGAATTTCCGAAGAAACTCCAGAACAGGGTCTCCTATGATCTTTCTTAGTCCTGGCAAGCAACTTAAACTGGGACAATATGGCATGACCAACACCAGACAGATTTTCTGAGTCTGCCTGAGTTTCTGTGGAAATCTGGGTAGGACAGGAGATGGCAGGAGATTCTAGAATAACAGACACAAACATGGGAAGCTGGGGACTGAATCTGGTGGTTAATGTGATCAGACACTATTGAGTTGTCTGTGAGAAAAAATAACTGGCACAGACAAGTCAGTCTATCCAACACTGAGTCAGTAATTCAAGACTGTTGATGTGCAGATTGTTTTACACTCATGACAAAACGAATCATCAAGAGATGATTCATATGAGCTCCCCATCCCTGTAGCACAAAATCTACAAATAGGTAATGAGTAGGTACAAAATCAACCAATGAGATTAGACCTGATAGTCTAAGATTGGTGTCACAGAACAGTGTGATCTGTCTTGTGTCAACCGACACAATATAAACAGTGATGTCTGTGAAGGGACTAAGTCTGATTTGTGAAGAATCTTAGATTGATTCATGGCTTCCATAAGAACCGACAACAAACAGATACATTCCATGTATGAAAGGTACATGGTATCTTATTACCCTCAACCTGGAAAGATATTACATCAGATAATTAAGCAGTTGGTGAGTGTCTATGGCTATGTCATCGTGTTGTAATACTGAGGTACTGCTGCAGAGGCAGCCTGAGTGAGTGGGTGAGTGAGTTTAGTTTTACGCCTCTTTTAGCAATATTCCAGAAATGAAATTTTTAGAGTAAAATTAATATTTTATACTTATCCTGACTCATGCTTATTGCTTGTCTTCTTCTTCTTGCCAACATAGTGGAACACGTGTATCTCCCAATTGAAGTTCCCTTCAATAAAAAATCACTAATTAGTACTCACCACGAGTTACCTCCCTTCCACAAGCACGGGAACGAGGGCGCCACCTCAACCCATGTGCCTCACTCTCTCCTTTTGTTTTGAGCCCGACACTTTATTTTTCCGAAGAAATCCAAAGTGTTAAGTGGGGAGGACGGGAGGGCTTACCTCATGAGTCAGGATAAGTATAAAATATTAATTTTACTCTAAAAATTTCACATTTTTCCTTTTCCTGACTTATGCTTATTGCTTGTAGAATCCGACGGAAAAGGAGGTGGGAATATATATACTTTGGATTTTAATAATTAGTGATTTGAACTGTGATGATTGTAATAACCCTATGGGAACTTTATAAAGGCACTGGACTGATGAATTCCTGCTGCTTAACTTATCAGCTGCCATATAAAGGTTATTACAATTTACTGAATATGATAAAAGTATATACAACATTAATGTAAGCTGAAGCTATTAATGTGATAGTATAAACTTCTGTGAGTTTATAGTGGATACTTTTATAAATGAACCAAAGTATTAAGCTTAAGATATGCATATATTTAAGCTATAATAGTATAGTACTGTGCTTAAGATATAATTATAACTTAAGCTGTATAATAGTAACCAACTCCTTAGAGTTTGTTAGCTAATACATTTATGAATATGACCATATGACTGAGCTTAAGGATTGATGAAACTTAAGGTGAACATATATATAATAGCAAAACTCCTAGGAGTTGTAAGCTTATATATAGTATGATATAAAAACCATAGTACTGAGCTTAAGAAAATAAATTAAACTTAAGCAAAATATATAGATAGCATGTAGCTATTAGCACTGTTATCAGATAAGTATAAAATCTGTAAGATAGACTTATCTTCTCCGTGGAACTGTCAACTGTTGAGCGAGGACCATGGGACCGAAATGGTGGATACCTGAGACGTCCTCGGTGGTGATATCTCTCAGATAGTGGTTGGCAAACACCATATCAGATCTCCAGAAACATCCTTCCATTATGGTATTCAACGAGCAATTCCCATGTAGAGCGAGAGTTGAGGCTAGCGCTCTAATTTCCTGAGGATTAGAAGCTCTTGGAGGGTCGAGTCCTGCAGCCTTGTAGGCACGTAGTATGACAGTTCTGATCCAGATAGAGATAGTAGTACGTGAGACTTCTGTCTGCGTAGCTGTAGATATAGGGATAAATAATCTCTTGAATTTCCCTCTCCTCTGTTTGGATCGTTGGAGATATATTTTCAGTGCTCTTACTGGGCATAGTGATAGATCCATCGTATCATGCGGTCCAAGTATGGATGAGAGAGCTGGGACGTGGAATAATCTGTCTGGTTGACCTGGCAGTTGGTTTTTCGCTATAAAATCCCAGCGAAGTCCCAGATGAGCGATGTTATGAATATCATCAAAGCGTGTTCTCTTGTAATCCAGTGCGTGAATCTCTGACATCCTGGCGGCCGTAGCTAGTGCTAACAGGAACAAGGTTTTGTGGGTCAGTGATTCAAACGATGTGGATAGCAATGGTTCATAAGCCTCACTAGTGAGGTGTTGGAGCACTATATTTAGATCCCAGGCTGGAGCGTGAAACAAAGCGAGTAACTCTGGTGTTTTTGTTAACTTGACGCCCGTTCTCATAGTTATGACAGAACTTATAGCTGCAAGATAAGTGGACAAGGTTGAGCCTTTTAGATTCCTAGTTTGACGTAGATAACATAAGAAATCTGCCACTTGAGGATGTGTAGCATATCTGGCTGTAAATCCTTTCTTAGCAGCGTAATTGACAAAACTGTGCCATTTGTCATCGTATAAGTTACGAGTTGAGTTACGTAGTGCAAGCGTTGACCACTTTAGCCGCTCTGGCAGAATAACCTCTCTTATTCAGACATGCCTTGATACAATCCATACGTGAAGTTGGAATGCTTCTGGTGTTATGTGCACTTGTTTGGTGTGCGGATGTATCAATAGATTGGCGCGTTGTGGGAGCTGAAGAATTGGTTTTCCGATTTCTTGAATGAGATCTGAAACCAAGTTCTCGCTGGCCAGTAGGGCCACCAAAATCAGATGGAGGCTCTGCGCTTGACTGATTTTCTGTAAGACTTGTGGGATTAACGCTGGAGGCGGGAAAGCGCACGCTGAGTCCCTCCCACAATATGCTTAGTGCGTCCGCTGCCCATGCTAGTGGGTCTGGGACTGGCGATACTTAATGTTGTCAGTTGCTTGTTGAATCGAGTGGCTTAATAGGTGTATCAGAGGAGATCCTATTTCCATGATTATTTGATTGAATATCTCTGTGTGGAGCATCCATTCTGTCGGCGACGGTTGGTGTGGCCGAGAGAGAGCCGCCTGCTAATACATTCTTTGCTCCTGAATGTGGCAAGCTCTGACGCGTATGTTTAGATTGTCGATTAGATCGAACAGTCTGAAACATCGAGTCAGTAGGTTCTGTGACCTTGTTGAACCTTGTTTGTTCACATAAAACGCCACTGTTGAGTTGTCTGTGTGAACCATCAACTGAGCGCTCTGTAGTAGGTTGCTCCAGTGACTTATGGCGCTTATGACTGCTTGCATCTCTAGCAGATTTATGTGACATTTGCTCTCTTGATTGCTCCATAGGCCTGACGCTGTCCTGCCGGGCAAGGTGGGCTCCCCAACCTTGTAGTGACGCTGCCTCACGAGAGATGTGTTTTCGATTCGCCTCTACTAAGGAGACGCCTGCATAAACATTCAATCTCTTGGTCCACCAGAGTAGATGTGGTTTGACATAATCTGGTAGACTGAATGGTAGAGGGTCCTCGAGATGAGCATTGATGAGGACTTGTAACGGACGTAATTGAAGCCTGCCTCTGACTGTCAAGTCTTGAGCTGATGTGAGTAGTCCCAATAGGCTCTGCCACTGTCGTAGTGGTAACGGAGAGAGTAGGGCTTGATGAATAAGTTGTTGGATCTTGATCCATCTGTCCTCCGGGACAATACGATTCTGAGCTGTTAGAAATCGTATACCTAGAAATTGCAGATCCTGCGTTGGTTCTAGGTCCGACTTGAGTAGATTTACTAACCATCCTAATTGAGTTAGTAGCTTGATTATAAAGTTCAGCTGTAGTCTGAGACGCTGTGGATCTGGATCCACTTGTATACCGTCGTCTAGGTAAAAAGCGCTGCGAAGCCCTTGACGATGTAGGTATGAGACAATAGGCTTGGTCACTCTTGTGAATACCCAAGGGGCCGATGTGATTCCGAATGGAAGAACCTTCCATTGGATAAATCTTAGATATTTCCTTGAGTTGGGATGAATCGGAATGTGTAGATATGCGTCTTGCAAATCTATGCTGGCCATGTAATCTTTGGGACGAATTAAATGCCGGAGTTGCGGTAAGTGTATCATGCGAAACGTTGGTTGTTGTCATAGATATTCTCTGTTGAAAATGCTCATGTTGTATATGAGACGAAACTTCTCCTTGGAATTTTTCTTCGGCACTAGGAAAACTGGGGAGTAGAAACCTGGTACGATGTTTCGTTGATCCAGAACTTCTAAGGCCTGTTTGTTTAGCAGAGTAGCTACTGTTTCTCTTAACATAGGTAGTTGAGCCGGTTGAACGTTGAACCCTGTGGGGGTAACTGTTAACGGAGGCTTGGCCTTGAGTTGTATTAGATATCCGTGCTGTAGGATGTTGGATACATATGGATCTTGTAGTATTCCCCAGTTTTCCCAGTGCAGCTGAAGGCGTCCACCCACTTGAGAAGGTTGTACTGGAACGGCTGGGGGTGGAAGACTCCAGTTGTTCCGAACCTTAATTTCATCGTCTAAATCCACGGCCACCTCTGGATGATCTGCCTCTAGCTGATCCTCCCCTAAATTTGCTGTATGGGCGACGAAAAGAATCCTTGGGATCTTTAGCTGCAGCTAATTTCTTGTCCCGTGCTTTCTGTAGCCCCGAAAACTTAGACTTGCCAGAGTATCTCTTTGCTGACTGTTTAATGACGTTCGCTAAGGTATCCATGGATCTGATCATAAGTACCTCTCTGGAGTCTTTAGATACTTCTTTGGAGACCTTGTCTATGTTGCTACCAAACAGTAAGGGCGATGACCATGGAGCTGAGTATAGAGATTCTGTGAATTGCTTATCCCAAGAGCAGGAGGCTAGTAAGCCTTCCTGACGAGCCATGGTAGTAGTTTCAGTAAGCGCTGACAGGTGCTCTGTAAGAAATTGGTGGTCTCTTTTCTGCATGAGTAGAGCTGAGTAGATCATTCTATCTTCTTACTCTGTAGAATTCTTGAACTTGGTGATGAGAGTTTCATTAATAGTTCTAGATCTATTCAATCCAAAGAACATTCTCCTGGAGATGGTATCTAATTGGGCCAATTTGCGATCGTCTACTCTGTAACTTATGGACTTGGCATCACTGATTAATTTAAAGTTGTCATCAATATCCTGGGCCTTGAAAAAGGGGTCCATATTGTGTCCAGCAAATTTCTCGGCATTGAAGACCGGGAAATGTGTAGATTGGACTTTCGAAGCTTTGGAACAGGCTGTATCCAGATTAGCTGGTACCGCTGCAATCGGGTCAATAGGAGGTAAGGTGATATTGTCTACATCATCATCCTTCATCAGGTAAGTCTGAGTTGAATTCTCGTTCTTCGATGGGGAAGCAAGTTGTAACTCATTCACCATCCAGTATCTAATCTCAGCATCTGAGAAAATGATACCTTCTTCCTCTTCTGACGTAGGGTCACATGTCGGAGTCCTAGATCTGTAGGAAGATCTATGAGAGGACTGTGGTGAACAGACTGACGAGTGGCTAGTGTAAGGAGACCTTGGAGGAGACATCCTCGGCGAACGCTGGGGACTTCGCGAAGCTCTTCTAGATCTTCTGGGCGAGGTAGATTTGGAGCCACTTAGCCTTCGCGAATGTATCGAGTCAGTGTCCGAATCGACATATGAGCGCTTGCTTCGAGAACGACCTCTGTGTTCTACAGGGTGTGGGCTCGGCGAAGCGCTCCTTCTCCGTGATGTCCCTCGCAACTGCAGAGGCTCTAGCTCCTTCGCGGAGGCGGCCTGGGACTTCCTTTGCGAAGTGATCGCTACGGGCTGGGTTGCCCTTCGCGGAGGCGCGTTTGTGGGCTCTGGGGCCCTACGCGAAGCCAAGGCGGGCTCTGGGGCCCTGTATGACTTATTATGGGTTGGGCTCTGGGGCCTCTGTAAACCGTAACGGTCCTCCATCAGTCTCATGATTTGGTTGACCAGGTCGTCTAGGACGGTCTGCGCTGGCGTTGAGGGTGGCCTCTCTGTGAAAGTGACGGGACCCTCAATCATAAACTCTGGCGTCAGCGTAAGCATCTCTGGTTGCGTGTTGATCTGCGCTGTAGTGACGGTAGCAGATACTGGACGTTTCTTATGACGTTTCTTATTCTGGAATGATAATCGGAATGTCATCATCATATAAACATAATTCTGAGACAGGTAGAATATCGGAGGCAAAATTATTTGTAGTTTTCGTAGATTTCCCTTTTGACGAAGCTGTGGACCTGGGGGTTCGAAGCGTACGTTGAGATGATGTGGACGCTTTCCTAGTCTTAGACTGTGAAGACGGAATGTCTTGAGATGCAGGTCGCTTCTTGGACATAGCGGACTGCGTCCCACGCTTATCCCCGAGGGAAACTCAGGCAGGCCACCAGCCGGTGGCGGGTCGTCAGTCAACAGTTGACAGGGTATATTAGCTTCCGATCTATTAGCCATGACTGAAGATTGTTTGCGAGATTTACAATAAACATCATTCCTACCTCCAGTATTTGTTACAATGTTCACTGCAGGACACTTTCACAATCGGTGCACATACACAATACAATAAACATCATTCCTACCTCCAGTATTTGTTGTTACAATGTTCACTGCAGGACACTTTCACAATCGATGCACATACACAATACAATAAACATCATTCCTACCTCCAGTATTTGTCGTTACAATGTTCACTGCAGGACAATCTCACAATCGATGCACATACACAATACAATAAACATCATTCCTACCTCCAGTATTTGTCGTTACAATGTTCACTGCAGGACACTCTCACAATCGTTGCACCTTTCTTCTTTCATTTGCTGAAAGGGCACTGGTTGGATAATGAGAGGAGATGCTGTACTCACCACTCCATCAATGTGCATAAAGCAGTCACCTCCACAGGGCTCACTTCCATGTTTTCGATCTGCAGTCTTTCTACTCAACATACTTGGAGTTGGGTGATATGCTGTAGAAAATGGAAAACATTACAATTAGCCTGATGTGAACGTCAAAACTCAAAGAAGGAAAAGAAACATGCCATATAATTCTGCTGATCACACATGCAAAAGCAAACTAAGGGTGAACTTGCAGCATTTGCATGTACCGTATATGACCGTCTATAAGCCGAATTTTGAGGACCAAAAAAGGCAGTCTGTAGAAGGGGGTTGTCTTATCCATGGGTTACGCTTTCGTCAAACTTTTTTCCAGGGGTAAGAAAACAACATCGTATCACTTCCTGTGAACAAACAACAGAAGACGACTTTGTCAGTAGAGACGTCAAATTTGCAATTAAACATCACTAGACAAGATTATTTACCGTGCGTATTTGTCTCGTACACAAAGCCGGAAATAGCAATCAGCTGTGCACACGTTTCCCGGCGAACAAGTTCAAACATGCACAATAATATAACGGGACGAATTCTGACGCAGTCATCAGTAAAATATAATACAGAATACCAGTATTTAACCCAAAGAAATATATCCTAGCATTGTGTAATTTTAGTTACAGTTTTTGCTCTATAAATTAATTAAGATTACCGCGTGTATTTGAGCCGGAAATAGCAATCAGCTGCATTTTTGCACACGCCTCGCTGAACAAGTTCAAACATGCACAATAATATAACGGGATGAATTCTGACGAGTCGCCAGTAAAATATAATACAGAATACTATTATTTAACCCAAAGAAATATATCCTAGCATTGTGTAATTTTATTTACAGTTTTATGTAAAATATATATAATCAACACTAAGGTTATACGGACCCTCATGAACGTGGTAAGCACATGGAATGGGGTAAAATACGGACGTCATTTAAATTCACACATTTTTACCGATGTTACTGTAAACTAGCACTCAATGGAAAACGAGGCGGTAATCAGTTCGTGATTGTTGAATGGGGTAAAATAGGCAAGCCAGTTTGTTGCTACAATAAATATGATATTTAGAGAAGCAAAATATATTATGCATTTTCTGTCAACTACACTTCGTTTCGATCCGTGAGTAGACACAATATATATGACAGTGAATTCTTTGAATAATGTGGACCAAAGTTATAATTATTGGTAACTGCCAGTTGTCTGTGGTCTGTGTTTGCCGCGATTAGGACCCCATCAGGACCCCATCGCGGGGGATCGACTTATGCACGAAACATACCATTTTGACACTGATTTTAAGGGTCAAGTTTGGGGGTCGTCTTATCCATGGGGTCGTCTTATAGACGGTCATATACGGTACTCTGCAAACATAGAAGCATCCTGTCATTTCCTCAAAACTCTTAAAGAATCACCATTGTACTTAGCGACCTGATGTTTCAAATAGTCCCTTCGCCACATTCATACAATCAGTGACATCATGACATAACAACATACAAATGATACTTTCTCTTTCACAGTACATGAGTGATATATAGTACATTAGTTATGTTAGCTGAAAATATGTCAAAGCTGAGATCTAATTTTGCTAAATACTGTCAATGTGACAAATGTTATGAGCCACAGCAGATTACCAGAGATGAAGGGCAGACTGCTCTGAACGACTGCACTTAAGACTGTAGCAAATACACTTTACTCTTCATATTAGTTGATACTTTTAAGAGGAGAGGAGGAGAGTGAAAGAAGCATGAGATACTGGTGACATATTGAGACAAAGACAGGATGATAAGATGGATTTACTGGTGACATACTGTGACAGAGGGAGGATGAGAGAAGATAGATTTACTGGTGACATACTGTGACAGAGGGAGGATGAGAGAAGATAGATTTACTGGTGACGTACTGTGACAGAGAGAGAAGATGAGAAGAGATTTACTGGTGACGTATTGTGACAGAGAGAGGATGAGAGAAGATAGATTTACTGGTGACATACTGTGACAGGGAGGATGAGAGAAGATAGATTTACTGGTGACATACTGTGACAGAGGGAGAGAATGAGAAGATAGATTTACTGGTGACGTACTGTGACAGAGAGAGAGGATGAGAAGACAGATTTACTGGTGACGTACTTTGACAGAGAGAGGATGAGAGAAGATAGATTTACTGGTGACATACTCGGACAGAGGGAGAGGATGAGAAGATAGATTTACTGGTGACATACTGTGACAGAGGGAGAGGATGAGAAGATAGATTTACTGGTGACGTACTGTGACAGAGAGAGAGGGTGAGAAGACAGATTTACTGGTGACGTACTGTGACAGAGAGAGGATGAGAGAAGATAGATTTACTGGTGACGTCTGTGACAGAGAGAGAGGATGGGAAGATAGATTTACTGGTGACGTACTGTGACAGAGAGATGATGAGAAGATAGATTTACTGGTGACGTACTGTGACAGAGAGAGGATGAGAGAAGATAGATTTACTGGTGACGTAATGTGACAGAGAGAGGATGAGAGAAGATAGATTTACTGGTGGACGACACCAGTGACAGAGAGAGGGTGAGAGAAGATAGATTTACTGGTGACGTACTGTGACAGAGAGGATGAGAGAAGATAGATTTACTGGTGACGTACTGTGACAGAGAGAGGATGAGAAAAGATAGATTTACTGGTTACGTACTGTGACAGAGAGAGGATGAGAGAAGATAGATTTACTGGTGACGTATTGTGACAGAGAGAGGATGAGAGAAGATAGATTTACTGGTGACGACATTGACAGAGAGAGGATGAGAGAAGATAGATTTACTGGTGACGAATGACAGAGAGAGGATGAGAAGATAGATTTACTGGTGAAAGAGAGGATGAGAGAAGATAGATTTACTGGTGACCTATTGTGACAGAGAGAGGATGAGAGAAGATAGATTTACTGGTGACGTACTGTGACAGAGAGAGGATGAGAGAAGATAGATTTACTGGTGACGTATTGTGACAGAGAGAGGATGAGAAGATAGATTTACTGGTGAAAGAGAGAGGATGAGAGAAGATAGATTTACTGGTGAAAGAGAGAGGATGAGAGAAGATAGATTTACTGGTGAAAGAGAGGATGAGAGAAGATAGACTTACTGGGAAAGAGAGGATGAGAGAAGATAGATTTACTGGTGAAAGAGAGGATGAGAGAAGATAGATTTACTGGTGACGTACTGTGAAAGAGAGAGGATTAGAGAAGATAGATTTACTGGTGACGAACTGTGACAGAGAGAGGATGAGAGAAGATAGATTTACTGGTGACGTACTGTGACAGAGAGAGGATGAGAGAAGATAGATTTACTGGTGACGACAGACAGAGAGGATGAGAGAAGATAGATTTACTGGTGACGTACTGTGACAGAGAGAGGATGAGAGAAGATAGATTTACTGGTGACGTACTGTGACAGAGAGAGGATGAGAGAAGATAGATTTACTGGTGACGTACTGTGACAGAGAGAGGATGAGAGAAGATAGATTTACTGGACGCATCAGACAGAGAGAGGATGAGAGAAGATAGATTTACTGGTGACGACTGTGACAGAGAGAGGATGAGAGAAGATAGATTTACTGGTGACGACAGACAGAGAGAGGATGAGAGAAGATAGATTTACTGGTGGACGACAGACAGAGAGAGGATGAGAGAAGATAGATTTACTGGTGACGATCAGACACAGAGAGAGGAGAGAAGATAGATTTACTGGTGACGACTGTGACAGAGAGAGGATGAGAGAAGATAGATTTACTGGTGACGACAGACAGAGAGAGGATGAGAAGATAGATTTACTGGTGACGACAGACAGAGAGAGGATGAGAGAAGATAGATTTACTGGTGACATTGTGACAGAGAGAGGATGAGAGAAGATAGATTTAACCAGACGATCAGACAGAGAGAGGATGAGAGAAGATAGATTTACAGACGACCAGACAGAGAGGATGAGAGAAGATAGATTTACCAGTGACGACAGACAGAGAGAGAGAGATGAGAGAAGGATAGATTTAGACATGACAGACGACAGAGAGAGAGGATGAGAAGATAGATTTAATCAGGACGATCAGACAGAGAGAGGATGAGAAGATAGATTTGACAGAAAGAGAGGATGAGAGAAGATAGATTTACTGGAGGACCCACAGACAGAGAGAGAAGATGAGAGAAGATAGATTTACTAGGACGACAGATCTGACCACAGAGAGAGGATGAGAGATGAGAGAAGATAGACTTGATGAGGTATCAGACAGAGAGAGGATGAGAGAAGATAGATTTACCATGACACCAGAAAGAGAGAGGATGAGAAGATAGATTTAATGAGTGACCAAGGAAAGAGAGAGGATGAGAGAAGATAGATTTATGCAAGGACGACTTGAAAGAGAGGATGAGAGAAGATAGATTTAACAGGAACGACCAGACAGAGAGAGGATGAGAGAAGATAGATGACAGAGAGAGGATGAGAGAAGATAGATTTACTCAGGGACGAAGAGAGAGAGGAGGAGAGAGAAGATAGATTTACCAGGACGACAGAGACAGAGAGAGGATGAGAGAAGATAGATTTAGGATCAGGACGACTGACAGAGAGAGATGAGAGAAGATAGATTTACTCAGGACGACAGACAGAGAGAGGATGAGAGAAGATAGATTTACTGGGACGACAGACAGAGAGAGGATGAGAGAAGATAGATTTAATGGGTGATCAGACAGAGAGAGGATGAGAGAAGATAGATTTACTCAAGACGACAGACAGAGAGGGATGAGAGAAGATAGACTTGACTGGTGACGACTGTGACAGAGAGAGGATGAGAGAAGATAGATTTTATGGGACAGACGATCACAGAGAGAGGATGAGAGAAGATAGATTTACTGGTGACGACAGACAGAGAGGATGAGAGAAGATAGATTTACTGGACGACCAGACAGAGAGAGGAGGATGAGAAGATAGATTTACATGAAGACGACAGACAGAGAGAGGATGAGAGAAGATAGATTTACAAGTGACGACAGACAGAGAGAGGATGAGAGAAGATAGATTTACTCAAGACAGACAGAGAGAGAGGAGAGAGAAGATAGATGAGACAGAGAAGGATAGAGAAGATAGATTTCCACTGGTGACGTTATCAGACAGAGAGAGAGAGATGAGAAGATAGATTTACTGGTGACGACTGTGACAGAGAGAGATGAGAGAAGATAGATTTACTGGTGACGACAGACAGAGAGAGGATGAGAGAAGAAAGATTTACGACACAGACAGAGAGAGATGAGAGAAAGATAGATCACCAAGGACGACCAGACAGAGAGAGATGAGAGAAGATAGATTTACTGGTGACGACCAGACAGAGAGAGACGAGAGAAGATAGATTTACTGGACGACAGACAGATGAGGATGAGAGAAGATAGATTCCATCATGACGAGACAGAGAGAGGATGAGAGAAGATAGATTTACCAAGGACGAGACAGAGGAGAGGATGAGAGAGATAGATTCAGACGAGGAGAGAGAGAAGAAGAGATTTCATCACAGACCAGACAGAGAGAGGATGAGAGAGATAGAGGGATGAGACAGAGAGAGGATAGAGAAGATTTACTGGTGGACGATCAGACAGAGAGAGAGATGAGAGAGATTCCACTGGACGACGAGAGAGAGAGAGATAGGATGAGAAGATAGAGGATGAGAGATAGACTCCATCAAGGACGACAGACAGAGAGAGGATGAGAGAAGATAGATTTAGGACGACAGACAGAGAGAGATGAGAGAAGATAGATTCCATCAAGGACGACAGACAGAGAGAGGATGAGAGAAGATAGATTTATCAGTGACGACTGATCAGACAGAGAGAGGATGAGAGAAGATAGATTTACTGGTGACGACAGACAGAGAGAGGATGAGAGAAGATAGATTTACTGGTGACGATGTGACAGAGAGAGGATGAGAGAAGATAGATTTACATCATGACGATCAGACAGAGAGAGGATGAGAGAAGATAGATTTGATCAGACGACTGTGACAGAGAGAGGATGAGAGAAGATAGATTTACTCAGGACGACAGACAGAGAGAGGATGAGAGAAGATAGATTTGATCAGACGATCAGACAGAGAGAGGATGAGAGAAGATAGATTTATCAGACGACTGACACAGAGAGAGATGAGAAGATAGATTTACTCAAGGACGACCAGACAGAGAGGATGAGAGAAGATAGATCACATCAAGACGATCAGACAGAGAGAGGATGAGAGAAGATAGATTCCATCAGACGACAGACAGAGAGAGGATGAGAGAGATAGATGGACCAAGACGACAGACAGAGAGGATGAGAGAAGATAGATTTCATCAGGACGACTCAGACAGAGAGAGATGAGAGAAGATAGATCACAGGTGACGATCAGACAGAGAGGAGGATGAGAGAAGATAGATTTACTGGTGACGACCAGACAGAGAGAGGATGAGAGAAGATAGATTTATCAGACGATCAGACAGAGAGAGGATGAGAGAAGATAGATTTACCATGATGACGACAGAGAGAGAGAGAGGAGAGAAGATAGATTTACAGGAAGACGACCAGACAGAGAGAGGATGAGAGAAGATAGATTTACTGGGTGACGACAGACAGAGAGAGGATGAGAAAGATAGATTTACTGGTGACGACAGACAGAGAGGATGAGAGAAGATAGATTTACTCAGACGACAGACAGAGAGAGGATGAGAAGATAGATTTACAGGACGATCAGACAGACAGAGAGGATGAGAGAAGATAGATTTACTGGTGACGATTGTGACAGAGAGAGGATGAGAAGATAGATTCCACTGGTGACGATCAGACAGAGAGGATGAGAGAAGATAGATTTACTGGTGACGACAGACAGAGAGAGGATGAGAGAAGATAGATTTACACAGACGACTGTGACAGAGAGAGAGGATGAGAGAAGATAGATTTACCAGTGACGACGACTGTGACAGAGAGAGGATGAGAGAAGATAGATTTACAAGGACGACAGACAGAGAGAGGATGAGAGAAGATAGACGACCAGGACGACAGACAGAGAGAGAGATGAGAAAGATAGATTCCACTGGGACGACAGACAGAGAGAGGATGAGAGAAGATAGATTTATCAGGACGACAGACAGAGAGAGGATGAGAGAAGATAGATTCCATTTGACGACAGACAGAGAGAGGATGAGAGAAGATAGATTCCACTCAACAGAGAGACAGAGAGGATGAGAGAAGATAGATTTACTGGTGACGACCAGACAGAGAGGATGAGAGAAGATAGATTTATCAGGACGACAGACAGAGAGAGGATGAGAAGATAGATTTACTGGTGACGACAGACAGAGAGAGGATGAGAGAAGATAGATTTGACTCAAGGACGATTGTGACAGAGAGAGGATGAGAGAAGATAGATTTATCAAGGACGACAGACAGAGAGAGAGGATGAGAGAAAGATAGATTTACAGAGAGAGGACAGAGAAGATAGTGACAGACAGAGGACAGAGAGAAGATAGATTTGTCAGGACACGACAGACAGAGAGAGGATGAGAGAAGATAGATTTATCAGGACGACTGACAGAGAGAGGATGAGAGAAGATAGATTTGAGACAAGGACGACAGACAGAGAGGATGAGAGAAGATAGATTTACTCAAGGACGACAGACAGAGAGAGGATGAGAGAAGATAGATTTACTGGTGACGACTGACAGAGAGGGATGAGAGAAGATAGATTTACTGGTGGACGACAGTGACAGAGAGAGGATGAGAGAAGATAGATTTACTGGTGACGACAGACAGAGAGAGGATGAGAGAAGATAGATTTACAAGGACGACAGACAGAGAGAGAGGATGAGAAGATAGATTTACTCAGGACGACAGACAGAGAGAGGATGAGAGAAGATAGATTTACTGGTGACGACTGTGACAGAGAGAGGATGAGAGAAGATAGATTTACTGGTGACGACATTGTGACAGAGAGGATGAGAAGATAGATTTACTGGTGACGATCTGTGAGAGAGAGGATGATGAGAAGATAGATTTACTGGTGACGACTGTGTGACAGAGAGAGGATGAGAGAAGATAGATTTACTGGTGACGACTGTGACAGAGAGAGGATGAGAGAAGATAGATTTACTGACCAGACAGAGAGAGAGATGAGAGAAGATAGATTTACTGGTGACGATACTGACAGAGAGAGGATGAGAGAAGATAGATTTACTGGTGACGTATTGTGACAGAGAGAGGATGAGAGAAGATAGATTTACTGGTGACGTACTGTGACAGAGAGAGGATGAGAGAAGATAGATTTACTGGTGACGTATTGTGACAGAGAGAGGATGAGAGAAGATAGATTTACTGGTGACGAGAGGATGAGTGACAGAGAGAGGATGAGAGAAGATAGATTTACTGGTGACGTATTGTGACAGAGAGAGGATGAGAAGATAGATTTACTGGTGACGTACTGTGACAGAGGGAGGATGAGAGAAGATAGATTTACTGGTGACGTACTGTGACAGAGAGAGGATGAGAAGATAGATTTACTGGTGACGTACTGTGACAGAGAGAGGATGAGAAGATAGATTTACTGGTGACAGAGAGAGGATGAGAAGATAGATTTACTGGTGACGTATTGTGACAGAGAGAGGATGAGAGAAGAAAGATTTACTGGTGACGTACTGTGACAGAGAGGATGAGAAGATAGATTTACTGGTGACGAGAGAGGATGAGAAGACAGACAGAGAGGATGAGAGAAGATAGATTTACTGGTGACGTACTGTGACAGAGAGAGGATGAGAGAAGATAGATTTACTGGTGACGTACTGTGACAGAGAGAGGATGAGAGAAGATAGATTTACTGGTGACGTATTGTGACAGAGAGAGGATGAGAGAAGATAGATTTACTGGTGACGTACTGTGACAGAGGGAGGATGAGAGAAGATAGATTTACTGGTGACGTACTGTGACACACAGGATGGATGAAGAAGCATGAATTAAAGGTGGCATATAAATCATTTCATAATCTGTGTCCAGTAACTTTGCTCAATGTTAATTAAGATTGAATAGAAATCCAGAACTTACGATGAAGGAAGCAATCGTATTTGAAACACCTGCGACAGAACAGTGTGTGAAATGAATGCATGGTCTGTTCCCTTGGCACTGACTCAGCATTCACGCCATCAATGTTAGGTGTACACTCTGGGGGTAGACTGTTGGGGTCACTTGCTTCACACAGCTCCTTATACCTGGAAAATCAGCCAGTTCACAAGTTAACACACGGAGCACCTGCACATTCTAATGTCAAGATATTCATCTCACACATCTCTCATCTCCTTGCAAACGGTACATGCTTTTGATAACAGTCTGTTGTTGATTAGATTACTTCTTACCTTCTATGGGTACGAAGGACTTTGATGAAAAGGTAAGTCAGAATCAGGGTTTTCTAAATCAACATTGCATGTGTTGAAAACAAAGTTTGTAGTAGTGTTTTTATATAATGAAGGACAGATCAATGTATTTACAGACCACCGCTATATAGCTGGAATATTGCTGAGTCTGGCGTAAACCTAAACTCACTCACCTGACAACCAATACCCTGATGAGTATAAACTAGATGCAGATGCAAAACTTTCCATACTGTTTAAAGGTACTGTTTACACATGAACTGATGTATTGTAAAACACATTTGTAACGTTGAAAAGAGTTCAATAAATGATGAAACTCAGTGAAAATTAGTAACAAAACTTTACACCAAAACGCAGCTGTTCACATGCATGATATTTGCACATGCTTTACAGCAATTTGATACATGATCCTCGTGCAATTCATCTGCATAAGGTTTTCAGTTGGTTCCCCCATGTTAGTGGAGAAATTCATCTTCGATGTAACCATACATATGTAATAGGCGTGGTTCTCAGTAGACTACCATTGCCCAGTGACAGCTTAGTTAAGTTAAGTAGCATGTAGGAACATGATGTTGAATCAACCTTGTTTGGACTTTGCGTTGAGTACTTTTATTTTATAGGTGTGCGTTCAGGTTGACTTGCTCTCTACTCAAAACTCAGTGACCAGTTCGTGAATCGGGCATAAAGCCTATTGGGAAATAACAGAGACAAAAAAGAACGACAACAATAGTTTATTACCAAAAAATTGGTAGAAAAATACAAACAAAAACTTAACAGCTTATAAATGACACATTTCTCTCACTCACATAGCTGATTAACAATCTAGCTATATGAATACCTGTACACTTCTTCTGAAAACCACCTAAACCAACCCTGTATTAACTGAACATTACCCAAAGTCTATAGCCTAATTCCCTAATCCGTTTCCTACTGCTACTTTGCCCCCAACCCGGCCTAACACCAATATTAGGAACCCAGCATCCCCCTACATAAAACCTAACATTCCACTCTGTAAACGGGGAGGGAATGATCCTGAAACAGAACCTTGGAACAGAGATAATACCTGATGTTGCTCGGATGACCGAAAGCTAGACAATGAATCCAGACAGCCAGGTCACTTATGTAGCGCTCTAGAACGACCTTTGACATGGGTCAAAGTTCATCTACAAGCGAGTCCGGTAATAATTCTGCTCAGCTGCAATAGTGTACTTCTGTATCGAAGGTAAACATCGTCTGCTACCACATTTACGCTTGAAATCGGGACATTTCTATAAGGGACTGGCTTTTAATCACTAAAGGTAATCAAATAATAGTAATTGACAGATAAATTGACAGTTTTATGAAAATTTGTTTTCTTCAGACTTTTAAATCTTTTTCTTCATTATTCATAATTGGATTTAATATGAAACACTCTTCCATTGATGAAGTGATTTTGAAAATAATCTGGCCCTAATACGCTCCATACTTCCGATCTCCAGCTGGATGTTATGCGCATCAGTTGCTGCGCAGAATTACCGGACAGCAAGCAATGTCGTCAGAGCACTGGTAAGGTCAACCGTATGGCATAATGCAACGTTAGAATCTTATAGTTGTCAATAAAACTTATGTTTCCAGATAAATATGATGCATACCAGCATGTTTAGTCACATAAACCGCAAAAAAATAAGACAATTAGCAGTATATATAATGATAGTCCGGGATCAAGTCCAACAAAAGCCTCTGCAAAGCCTTATTTCACAAATAAAGCTTTTGTTAGGCCCTTAGATCTCGCCACCATTGTATCTACTACTTTTGAATCCCCAGTTGACTCCCCGGCTCCACGTGGCACTATTGTGCCGCTATGATGTGTTGACAGGGGGTAACATTGTACCGTACGGTATGATCAATAATTCCTGTCTAACGAACCCTCTCCCTGGCCCATCTCTCAAGTAGTACAAGTTCGGCTCGTCGGCTTTGATGTCCACTTTATCTATGTTGTAAGTTTTGACTGACCATATCGGATCAGTGGCTCGCTTACGGCTATCACCCTCGTGCTCCCCCGGCTGGTAGAGGTACCTCACGAGGGCCCTATCTGGTATCTGTTTCTCCTTCCCACGCAATGGTGCAGCCGACTCTGCCACTATTGATTTTAGTTTGATAGCGTCGGCTGGTTTCTTGCAGGTGAGACGGGTGATTTCATGGTTGATGGCTGACACCACCTGAGGTAGCCACGCTACCCATTCAGTCGATCGTTTCCCCGGGTTGGCCATCTCTCTCGCATACTGATGCCCAAATAAGCGCTCTGCTAAAGTCCGATTGAATCTCTCAACTATGGCTTGGCTGCGACGAGCCCCGGCAGCACTACGCCTGACCTTGGTATCGTGTTTGTCTAGCAGGTGTGACATGGCACCCATGAACTCTCGCCCGGGGTCGACTTGCAGCTCTGTTGGCCACGTCAGTGGACTGCGTTTGTATATGCGTTCGAATCCAAGGGCTACCTGGGCCGAGTCTTTCGCGGTTAAGGATTCGGCTTCCTTGTAGCGATTGGCCACGTCCACGACGGTTAAGGCATACTTGTACCTCTTGTTGTGGGGTAGGAATAGGAGGTCGGCCTGGTGAACGCTATTGGGTATGTTAATACCGAACTTCCTTCTAGGCACGTAGCGTGGTGCTGGTAAATAGATCTGCCACAGGGCTTGTTTTTCAAGCCACGCTTTGGCCTCGTTTGGGGGTACTTGCGCCATTTTAGCCAGCTTATGTACAGCGCTAGCTCCTTTCCAGTACCCACGTGGGCTGTAGTAAATAGCCTCAAACTTTCTTTGGTTCCGTGACATGTTGCCCCAATATATACACCTATGTTCTTGGTTCAATTTTCTCATACCCGTACGCGTACGTGTTTATCCCATCAATAGCTATCCAACGCTTAGTGTCCATCGGCGACAGGGACGTCTTGTTTATAGTCAGTCCGTATATCCTATGCCCATCACTTCTAAGCGTGTTCATTTTATGTCTGAAGGTACAGGTCTTGAACAGGGCTTCCTTGAATCTGGCGTGTTTGATGTGTTGTTTCACCACGTACTTCTTAACACCCTTCGCCTTCCGGATCTCACCATTGTCGGCCTTCAGGATGGAGTACATCTTGGGTCTCAAACCTATGTACTCAGCTATGGAAGTGCCAGCAGCACACTCGTCCTTCATCTTACCTAGGACCTTTTTATTTACCGTGCTGTGTATGGCATGGTCCTTGGGGTAGTCGCTGGTGTCATACAAATCGAGGCGTTTTTTCATGTCCTCGTACATGTCCTCGGTTCGAATCTCCATCAGCAGGGAATCCGTGTCAGTGTACAGCACTTCGCACCTGTCGCCGTACTGTTTCTTCAGTTCGTTGTAGTAAAAGTCGTACATCAGGTGTTTGGATAAATCGAGGATGCTCATCCCCACATAAACAGGCCGGTTGAATTTTATGTGGCTTTTCTTCATGTGTAGGGCAACCAGGCCCCGATTTCTCGAAACAAACTTAAGTCTGAGTTTTGACTTAAGTTCGAGTTTTTACTCAAATTTGAGAAAACACAGGAAATGCATTTCACAGAATGAACTGAAATCGGTATTAAACTCGAACTATAGAAGATAATTTGAGTTTGGTGGATAGATTACTTAAGTTGTTTGGGCTTTTATATTTTAAAAATGCAGTAAAGTTAAAAATTCAGCTGTTCCAAAATGTGACCTCAGTTTGAGATTTGAGTAAAAACTTAAGTTTGTTTCGAGAAATTGGGGCCTGGTCGTCGGTGAATATCTTGCTCCGGTTGAATGCCCGGGCTGGCTATCAGTCTCCTGAGCTTGTCTTCCTCATTCGACCTAACCAGCTTCACGGTCACGCGTTTCCTAAGGATCTCCATAGTCTTACCAAACACCGAGTTGTTCATGAGCTTGTAGAGATTTTTCTCAGTCACTGGTGGCAAGCTTCGCAGGTCTGTGTTCATTCTGATGTATGGCTCCATCCAGGGGCTCTGGTTGAACACGAGCACCCTGTGTATTTTGGTCAGCCTCATACCCAACGACAGGTACAGCTGTAGGTTGCGATAGTGAACGATGTACTTGGTCTTATTCATTAAGTTGGGCACGAGTTTTTCAACGTCTGCCACCCGCCCACCTAACAAGTTATGTTGGTACTAAGACATCCAGTCTGGGTTAACCCTCATACGTTCGGGGGCCAGGGGGTAGCTGTTGTGTGATGTGTGTAATGCCTTGGGGTATTCCAAGTCAACCTCGAGGATATAGCCTTTACTCGAATCGTCCGCGATGCTCATAACATCGACCTCGTGCGATGCCCATTCGAATCCCCCTGTGGGTAGATACTGGCTCATGGCCCAGCCGTACAGATTGTTGGCGTCGAGGTAGAGAATGTGATTGGTTGGCTTGCTCAGGTCGTAACCCTTCACGTATTGATTATTTGCTTTCGCGTATCGTTTGGTTGCCATGGAAATCCCACCTCGCAAGCCTTTCTCAATGAATAGGTGCATGTCGTAATTGGTGAGCAATTCCAACTTAATTCCGGTCTTTTTCAGCAATGCATCCCACGACAGACCTGGGCTGGTGTAGTACCATGCGGGGTCGAGTTCATACTGCTTGAAACACGTCCGCCTAAACGTCTCAAACACGTCGGCTAGCAGCAGTACATCTGTCCTCAAGTACAGGTCGTGATAGTCACCCAGATTCTTACAGCCCAGTTTATTCCATACGCTAATCGCGTGTAGTAATCGTCTTGGGATATTGTCGTCGAGTCGGTCAGGTTGCTGTAAAATTCTCTAATGGGGGTAGTCGGGTCTCGGCGAACTTGGCCCAGCCATCTATGTACTTTCGTG